TTTCTATTAATTTCAACACACACGCAATCACAGAAAGTCACTCCGGGCTAGTCAACAAGTCTACGTTCAACCAACGGACGATATCAATTCATCAGTTTCTATTTGCTACCCTCGATTCTCACTAAGACTGGCATGCCTCATCGTGTGCGGTTTGTTACAGATAAGCCAATAAGCGGCACTTGTCTGAACATAAGAGACCATATCGATCGATATCTTCTATTTCTCGGAAATTCGCCCGCAAGATTCGAGCTCTGTGCTCACCTTCCGATCTCCCGCATGTGACGCTGGCAACACTTTCTCACTGCGCTTGTCCGGAGATGACGTGTCTTCAAATGCGGGTGTGGGCACTGTTCTGAGTACCCGAGCTGGAACTGCTCTAAACTGAATCCCAGTGAACAGCCGGATGTGCGGCATCAGATTGACCGGCTCGTTCTAAGCGTGCAAGTCGCGCGGGTGGCACACGGTTCCTGTTCTCAGTGCTGCATCTGCGCTTACGAATTGGGGCAATGACTCGGTGAAAGCTGACTTCTACCATCAACTGAACGAGCTCCTTCCTTACATCGGAAGTAATGATACTCTAGCGCTGGCTGGTGATCCGAAAGCCTCAGTTGGAAAAATGCCCACTGATGAGCCACATCTGGGTAGCCAACACGGTGTACGCTCGCGTAACGAGAGCGCAAGCGGTTGTTACACCCATGTGAAAATGCTCGTCTAGTTCTCGCGACACAGCACCCGCAGAAGGATGAGGATTCTCATCGCCCTTGAATCAACCATGGACGCAAATTGATCACGCTGCGATCTGTTACCGCTGGAGAGGATGTGTTCAAAACTACCGATCGGTTTGGAGCACAAGCGTAGACTCCGACCATGCACTTGTACGTGCTGATCTGCGAGTGCGTTTCGACGGTTGCCTGTGACGACGCTGTGAGCGCATGGACATAACTGGCGAAGCCGGATGTTCTAAGTACACATCAAAGTACGCTGGCATCCGAGCTGAGTAAGCGCTCACTGAACACAGTTGATGGCCAATGGTCACGCGTTCACTAAACGTCTTCTTGCGCCCAATTTGATTGTCAATCTGCACATTGGGTCTCTACGTAGTCTCTGGGACGTCTAGATGCTCGTCGACGCATTTCAACTGGGAACGACCACAACGAGACTCGTATAGATCGCAGAGCTAAACTGCGTGCTACTCTGGAAGGCGACATTGTGACTTTGTGGTCTCATCGAGTGACGGAAATGTGAACAGCAACGGCATTTGATAATTATCGGAAGTTGTTCGGTCTGATATGGTAAACGAGCAGCTAGTGACTTGTTGTCAGCCGGACTATAATCGGCATGAGTTTACAGCCACTCTACCACTTGTTGCTTCGCTTGGAGCGTGGAGTCGATCACTTCGAAATGCAATGTAACCAAATTGCTTTTATACTTGTAATATTCTTGTACGCCCTCTTCCTTGGACCTGCTTCTTGGATTCCCCATCACTCGCAAAATGTTGGACCTGGTATCCGGCTGTTGAAATTAGTTAAGTTCGCCGTTGACAATTTGATTTCCTCCAACCCTCTTCAAATCTCCGGTACCACCTTTTGTGTATGATTTGATTCTGTGAGAGCCGGAGACCGTCCCATCAAACTGTATCCTCTCGCTTATGCTCCTAATTTTTAAAAGTGCTTACATCCTTTGGATCGATGTGCTTTTTGTTATTGCCTGCTCAGCAGATGTGGACGCGATATGTAAACCCCTTAAATGCGCTTTTCACGCGTTGTTCCTGCAGTGTGAGGGCTTATGGCTAGTGTGAGGCAAGCTTGCTCGCTCTCAGCTTCCTTTTTAACTCTTCCTTGGACGAATTCATAAAAATAGCGTTCAGTGGGCCCGATCTACAAAGTGTTTTGATACTCCGTTGTGAATTTCTTCTGGACCTGGAGTGCGCTAACGCTAGTGCCTTTGTACGCATGAGCCAGCAAACGTGCCAAGCATCACTGGACAAACCACTTCTGGCCGCCAATCGTTTCGGGCTATATTTTGCACTTTTGCAATGCAAGGTCCTCCATGATTGGAAGGGACCGAACCCCCACGCTGACCCTTGGTGTTGATCAGCTATATAAAGATACTGTGTACGATCTCTGAGTCCAAAGTACGTACATATGACTATTACATCCATCAAATCGACGCTCGCACCCTGGTCTGATGTTATTCCCCAGCTTTAGCATACCCGTCCTCATCTTGAACATTTCTACACTGGCTGCTTCCCGCTTCAGTGGATAAATTTCATAATTTTGATGAAGCACATCGGCGCTTCAAGAGACCACATGTCAGGCTCTCGACCGAATAAACCATACTTCCACCGCAGCTAAAACCTTAGAAAGAATCGCCAAGAATCGTGTAACACAGTTCCTGACAAGACAAAACCTACTCCGCAGTTTCCAACACGGATTTACGACAAAAGGTTCCTGTGTCATACGCCAACTATATTTTCTTGATTATGTTACGATAACATTTGATGGTGGCATGGCATCATCATCATTCTTTTGGATAAGTAAACAGCGTTTGACTGTACCGCATAAATCTTTGCTAGGCGTGCTTGAGTCCTATGGGATCAGCAATCCTCCATTGGGCTGGTTCAACTCATTTATGAACGATCGGTGACAAAGAGTACGAATTGTTCAGTACTCTTCTACTACCAGAAATGTCACTAGTGATGTCATTCAGGGCAGTGTATTGGGCCCATTGCTTCTCCTCAATTACATAAACGATATATGTGATAACATTGGACACGTTCGCCCTTTTAATTTTGAACAACCTTTAGCTAGCATACTCGTTTCTACTTAACCACCTGGAACTCGGTCTTAAACATGTAAGCGACGGCTTATCAGTCCTACAAAAATGTAACGAAAGCTGGTCAATGAGGTTCTCGGCAGATAAATCTCGGGAACGCTGCCACAGATGCTGTAAACTATAACGATCCATGAATATTACTGATACAGCCATTCTAACTGCGAATTTCGTTCCAGACCTGGGAGTTCGATACCTCAGCAGCTTCAACTTTTCCGAACACATACTACATCAAATAGCGAAAGCGAAGCAACTAACAATCTACATCACCAGGTCATTTTCACTATGCCAAACACGATGTGAATCATTCAAACTCATAGTGCGACCCACTCTACAGTACTGCGCCATCATACATAGTCACCTTAGCAAAATACATAGAATTACTTTGGAAAACGTCCGGCGCTCCTTTTTCCAAAATGTTTATGATGCACTCATCAACGCTGACTGAGGAGGAACGATGTTCTTACCTCCAACTAGATCCACTCGGGCTTCGATGGTTGAATAGCAGTCTCGGTCTTCTCTGCAATACCATGTACGTACGAGTATTCTCAATCAGTGCGGTTGTCGCTTTACAAAATGCACAATCTGTCCCACTCGTAATGGGAAATGTCAACCATTCTTACATAGTATCAGAAAGAATATCCGCTTAAATTTCTTTTTATTGTCTTACTCTTATCCATGGAATAAACTACCGTTGCAATTAAGACCCGCGAGATCCTGTTTACATTAAAATCTCATCTAGACACTTTCTTCCTTGCCCTGTGTGGTTAAACTCTTCGATTCTCAGTACTCCACGTGTGTACTCATGGAATCTGGCCCGAAAAACATATGGCCTTATTAGCTTTCGAACAATGTTATTTATCACATATACAACTACCTATTGCATCGCTGTGCCATATTGTATGCCGATTCACAAATGAAATGTTAACGAAACTCATTGTAAACTTGATCGTTCCGAAAGAGGGAACCTACGCCTCTCGTCGGGAAATATACCCATTTAATTACTTATTTATTTATTTAAGTCGTCCAGCAATTTATGTGCCTAGGCGGCCATATTAGCAACAATGGAATGGAAACTAAGATCACGTACCTCCTTGCAAAGGCTCGAGAAGTGCCGCGTGAGCGATGAGCGCGCTCGACTTCGTGTATTTGATGCAGGAGGAGCGAGTGAACCGCTCAGCACCGTTATATCACGCACCAGGCTCCGGTGACTGGGCCACCTATTGCGCATGCCAGCCAGCACACTTCAGCGACATGCGTTGTTTGTGCACCCCGGGGCCTGGATGGAAGAGCAGGAGGGGAGGCTAAGCGATGACTTATTCAAGAGGAATTTGAGTCTTCACTTCGAATTTGGCGTCGGTTAGTGTCCCCGGACTACCGGACTGGGGTCCGAAGGGCGTTGAATACCCTCCCGCTTATCCTCCGCCTCCACCCACAATCTCACTCCCGATGCGTGATATGATACTAAGCATCATTTTACTTGTTTTTTGTCTTATACTCTCTTATCTAGTGTTTTGTCTTTCACTTTTTATCATATCTTATGTTTTTATAGTGCAGCACAATGGTTTAAGTGTGATTTTTTTTACCTTCAGCTACAGTGTAGTGATGATGTTTGTTATGTTAGCTGGGGCTTTTTTGCTGAGTTGATCGTTCATACCACTGTACCCAGTAAAAATCTCGCAAAGCTATTTCCGCTGATTACTCGAGACTTTGCTCGTCGCCTTTTTAAATCTCATAAGCTTATTACTCTATGTGTATACGTCTGCGATGACTCTAAGTACTAAGTATTCATCCAGATTTAAAGTTGCTCAGATGGGCTTTTATACTGTTCCCTTTTCCTACTCATGGTTTGAAAAAGTCAACTTACGTCACACAACGGTTTTCATCAGCCAATGATAGTCGTTCATGATGAAATGTAGTTTCTTACGCCTGTAGTGCGTTTATGGATCTGCACAGTAACCAGTGGCATCCGTTTCCGGTTTGCCTGCGACTTAAAATCATTACGCACCGAAGGTACCGCCTCGCTTCGTGGTGGATTGCATGCAACTCGGCAACCATACTCCGTGAGCACATCAGTACTTTCTTTGTCCATGTCTTAAACCTTGTGTCTGTTTTCCTTTGATGCACCATTGGTTATATGCCACCTTGTTTTGCTCATTCACTCCAAGTTCCGAATTCTTCGGTCGGTGTTGAACATGCGTACCGAACTGTTCGGTCCGTACCATCTGATCGCATGGAATTCGACTTGGATGGAACTGTACGTCATTTGACTTCAGCCCAAAGAGTCAAGTTGATGCAAGATTTGTCAGTGGTGGAAACGAACGTGAACCTATTGAATGACATGCTGGCTGAACTACGACCCGACACTGTTGGCTTGGACGACCTGACTTTGTTGCAAGTATGTACTTGCTCACTGACCTTTCGTAGCTTTTTCTTGTCTTCCAATGTTCCGCTCTCTTCGCTGAAACTGACCTTGTAAGGTGTTCAGTATACTCACTCACTGACGCTCCTTATGAAACCTAAACTCTTGGTTTTCCTCTTTCATGATTATACTAGGTGACCGTTCTCACATCAGCGGTTCCCCTTTGGACGTAAATAGACCCGTTGAATCTAACTGTTTTACATAACTTTTTCCAGCGTTATAGTCCAACTCCTTATCCAGATTTTGATATAAACTCATACTTTCATATTGCGATTTCACTGAACAGCGTTTATTTTTCTCAGATCCCACTCTCGTTTTCACCAGAGTATATCACTTGTTTTACGCCTATGTTGGAATCAGTACAAGTGCATGCGTCGGGGGATCACTCACTCTCACTCCTTATCACGGACACCCCTGTAACTAGCCAACAGGGGATCACCCTTTACATTTTCACTCCCTCGGACATTTAACGTCATTTGTTCTGTGTTTGGCAAATAACTCTGCTATCTAACATTGGCTTCTTACTTCACGGCTTCACGCCAGCGGAGAGTCGGCCTCGGTTCCGTGGTTTCCGCATCTTTGTCCTCACAAAGTTCTCAGGATGTTGACAAAAATCTAACTTGTCGACTTGTCGACGTATTCCTACAATCAGCTAGACGATTATTGTTTAGGCAATGAATGACTCCACCATGGCAATACTTTGCATGTATGGTGGTGAAAAACATTGCGAACTCACAAGCCAACGGATTCCGTAAAAGTAATCGGCATTGAAAGTTGATTGCTAACTGCAAGGAGATCAGTTTCTCGTAAAGTGGAGAATATCCCGTTTAATTATTTAAAAGAAATTCGCGAACGGCAAATAAAATATGGTGAAGTGTACAAGGAGGCTTACTTCGCCCGTCGGGAAATATAGCCATTTACTCATTTAGTAACCTGATATAGTAGAACCTCTAAAGTTGACCACCTCTATAAGTCGACCATTTTTCCATAGCTTGAACATTCACCATATAAACCTTATGAAACTACACCTCTGTAAGTTGTATGTTGACTACTTAGGTCATAACGGTCAACACTAATCTGACCACTATAAGTTGACCATGTAAAGTTTGCGATCGCTTGTTCAAATACTAATGTGCATGTAGCGAGATTTTACGATATGTGAAATTCCCTTGACGCGCGATCACTTTATCTTACAGCTCTGCAGAGGTTTGACGAAACATGCGTACCTAATTCTTTTGCCCACCCACCAGTGTTCACGCGCATTTGTGTTTACCTCGTACTATGTGTCCCTAAGATCCCTGTCCACGAACTGACCATAGCCGTTTTTGTGTGAAATCTTTCCCAACACACGCACGTATTACGCCTACGCTCCAACTATGTCCGTACGCATTGCACAGGTCGCAATCAAGAATTTTAGTGTGTCTTACATCTTTCACTTTCAAGTCGGATCGATGAACCTGCCAACGGATACGTTTAACTTCTTGAGTTTACATTTTAATTGGCACGGCAAGCTGCCGCCTCACTCGCTCGATGAGCTGCGCCAGCAACTCCAAGAAACTTAGCACACACCATTAAAACCACATCAGTGGATTGAAATTCTTTGGACCTTTCTCATCCCACGATACATCCACAACCTCTCGCTGGCAGTAATACATCGATACACCCTCAAGAGGATGGACAAATTAATCGGGACCGATGTTCCCAAATGGTTAAGTTTGCCCAAGGATACAGCCGTCGCCTTTTTTCATGCATCCATCAATGACCACGGCTTGAACCTTCCTATCATCTCAACCATGTTGCCATTACTTCCGAAAGATAGATTGGAGCGACACCTTTCCAACCCGAATGCTATCCTTAACTGGACTATTCGTGATCCCCCCATATTCTGCGATTCATCGGCTAGCTAATTCTCCGCTATTCATAGTTGGGGAAATTGTGGCGGACAAAACCTCGGCAAAGGAGGAAGGAAGACTCAGCTACTCGCTACACTTGCCAGATCTTTTCCACATCAAGCTCCAAGGCATCCAATTGCTCATCGATGGCTCGGCCACGCGCACTTATCTTCCCGCGCCTAGTTATCAGGGCAACTCAATTACGCGCAGGCGTCCATCCTACAAAAGTCAGAGGCATCAGAGACAGACCACCGCCATTCCCATTCGATCTCAATTGCCACGGTTCATGTGGTCAACACGAATCAATCTCTCACGTGCTACAGTCTTGCAGCGTAACCCATGATGCACACTGCAAACGACGCCATAACATTGCCAACCAAGTTGCAACGACTACGCTGTCTGTAAGCTACAGTCATTCCAGAACCATGCATCTCCACACCAGTGAGCTACATCAAGCCAGAACAACTCATCAACCGGGGCACTATTATCAACATGATGGATATTGCTGTCTGTGGTGCACACCGGATAAATACTGCATCGGTAATCACCCACCGGCCATCAGAAACTGCACACAAGCTGCGCTCTCGGCCACCTCCTCTTTTGTACATTATCTGCTCATCTTAATCAATGTAGGATATATCCAGCCTGCGTCTGCCATACAGCTGTTGTCATTGGGTCTCACGACCTTGGATATTTCCGATCTGTGCATCTCCACCATCCGAGAAACCATATGTATGTATGAGGTTTATATGCTAGCTGCAGTCTACCAAACATAATCACTATAACAACAGAAACGCTGACACATACTGGGTGTGCGGTCCTTCATCGAGTTCCCCGAATTGTCTTTGAACAATTCACTAATTATTATGTTGGGGCATTTATCCTACCTTGGCAACTTGTACTGCTCATTTCTCGAGCCATACATGTCTTTGCCGGAAATAAATGTCTATCGATTAACCGGTTCTAAGCTGACCCGTTCAGCACCCAGTCATTAGACCCTTACTGTGGCGACACTGGTATCTAAGTCATTTTCTGGAAAGCAGCAGCCAAAGAAAGACGACAGAACATTTTGGTGCTAACAAGCAACAGTTGTAAACATTCAACAACGTATGCATGAGTACTTGGAGAGATATGATAATGAACTTCATCAACTGTTTCAGTTAAGTGTCTCAGACACTGTGCTTTGGATGAATTCCGCTAGGCACGATGTTCAACTAGAAATAATGCAAATCACTTTCAAAAACGCTGCGTCTGTTCAAACTCTCAAGCACGAAGCTGTTGCATTATTAATACCTCCATCTCCCATAGCAAAATTCGATGACTTTGAGGTTCTTGAGATAAATGATGACTTGGCAATATGCACTGAACCAAACCCAGGTACTATTTTCAGAGATATGCGGTACACCCGTAAGGGTGCAAACAAGAAACGCCTGGTGGTGAAAAACTAAGTGCTGATGATATGGAAACCACAGAGGCATCCTTTGATGCAACTGAAGTCATTTGCTGTGGGGGAAATAGCCAGTCATGCTGAATAACGTAGCTTGTGCTGAGGACGCTTTTTCCGTTACGTTTGTAGTAAGAGAAAGAAACAGATGAAGATAATTTAACTTTGAGGAAAACGCACTGCGTCTTGTTACAACACTACATGACTGTACTGTGCTTACCGTTATGTAAGCGCTCATAGTTTGTTCGCAACAGAATGTATGTGAAAGTAAATGTCCTACTATACTACTCACAACTGGCAAGTAAAGTACCTCGTTTTTTTGTATCGACCCTCCACATATAGACCGCTTATATGCTGACCACTTTGGTCAATCTTCTTAAGTGCTCGAATTTCGGAGCTTTTGCTGTCCTTATTTATCACTATGCATCTACATTGAGTTTGTGGTTGGACGTTGAAGCAACCTGCATGGGGCACGGTAACTTAATTCACAGTACAGCATAACTGGGGTCGGCTCTTCGCCATGTCAAGTGTCTCCAGCCAGACGTGTTCATCGATATTCGGACCCCGATCTAGAAATCTAGAAGCCACAACCAAGGCCAGTCTCGAAGTAAGGGAATACATTCATTCCAATAAAATCATCGCTTGGCGTTTTTCCTCTTCTTCCATCCATATGCCGTTCACGCAAGCAACACATGTCGCGAGAGTCGGTATTCTTGCATGAATAAAGCACTATCAATCCATCGGTTGCTGGTATAGAAAATAACGGTGCGGGGTGGTTCATTGTATCTTCTTGCACCATGGACGAAACGCCTAATACGCTCATTGCTCACGCGGTATACCCACGAGTCAAACTTAGAAGACACCGGCGGTCGAACGCCACCATTTTCTTTTTATCTGTCACTTTGCTAGGCCAGATTTCAAAACTGTACAGCAGGGTTGTACTAACGGCTGCATTGTGGACTTTATCGTTCGCCGGGAGGGTGATGTCACACTATCTTCATAATTCATTAAACTGATCAAAAGCTCCTCGAGCTTTGGTTATATCTTGCGTCGCATTATTTCCTGTTGCACGTGCCCGGGTAGCTGAATTTATGACAAGCCTTAGGTTGGTGCAGCTTAGGACCAAATCGTCGGCGTACTTCAGTGATCAGAGAATTTAATCACCAATAATTAGCTTCACATCTTCCAAGTCACGTTCATTGGATGCAGTTTCCGTAAGTACGTCGTCAGCGAAGTTGAAAAAGTAGGGTGACCGCTGAATTGCTGTAACGCACTGCTGCAGATATTGAAAGTAATTTAAGGATTACCTTAGGGCGTAAAGCACTCTTATCATATTTACGTACTTCTCGGCTAAAACGTTTCTTAGATTACAGTCTCTATAAGCATATAGGTCCACTGAGTCGAATGCACGACTACGGCGGGTCGCAAATATACGTGGCGCAAAATAAGCATGCGCTCATTGCAACCTCGATTTTGACTAAATTCGGCTTGTTCTTCACGAATCTTCTTTCATAGCTTCCAGGAAATGTATGATAAACAATAAAACCTTGAAAATTAGAGGTGATAGAGATTACTTTGGTCCTTCTCTGATTGCCGCAACTCCAACGTGAACCAAACTTAAATTTTTGTACTACAGCTGT